CCCCAGGGGGGATGGTCACGCCACAATCCCTTCTCCTCCATTCTCCTCTCGGGATCTCGGGCATGCACGCACACGCGCCCGGCATGAGTTTTAAGCCACCGGGTCTGGGACGCGAACCGCAGTCGACTACATGGGAGTCCAGCGACATAGCCATTATGCTAACTGCTGGTTCCCGCTGTTTTGTTTTTTAAAGCCAGAAATTTTTTTTTCTTTTTTGGAGGGGTTTTTGCTATAGGGCGTGTGCGACAGACAGAGACATAGAGACAGAAAGCGAGAAATCATCCCCCAGTGGGGATGGTCACGCCGCAATCCCTTCTCCTCCATTCTCCTCTCGGGATCTCGGGCATGCACGCACACGCGCCCGGCATGAGTTTTAAGCCACCGGGTCTGGGACGCGAACCGCAGTCGACTACATGGGAGTCCAGCGACATAGCCATTACGCTAACTGCTGGTTCCCAAAGCCAGAAATGTTTTAATAACCTTGGTCAAAGACTGACTGAGTTTTTCTTCTGAATAGCTTAATTTTTTTTGAGAGGTTTTTGCAATAGGGCACATGCACTTGCCAGAAAGAGAAAGACAGAAAGCGAGAAACCACCCCCTGGAGGGGAGGGCCACGCCACAGTCCCTTCTCTGCCATTTTCCTCTCGGGATCTTGGGCATGTACGCACATGCATCCGGTGTGAGTTTAAGCCACCAGGTTCAGGACCCAAATTATGGTCAACTACATGGGAGTGCAATGACATAGCCATTATGCCATCTGCTGATCCCCCATCACAATACTTTGTCAGTTTTGCATCAGTGGGTCTTACCTATCCCTCTACGTCATACCGTGGCCTGGGAACTCAGAAAGGCTAAGTGGCTTGCCCAGGCCCTACAGCCAGGAATGGTAGCTGGAGTCTCTAGAGCTCTGATTCCTAGAGCTCTTGTCCATTATATCAGCTGACTCAGTGGACTGAGAGCATATCTGAGGTCTTCCCAGACATCCTCCATCCAAAGCAGGGCAAGGAGGCAGAGTCCCAGTTGAGAACTCCAGGTTCTGGACAACGGAACTGACAACTAGAGCCAGAGAGAAGACTGAAAAGGAGAGGGGGAGGCTCAGCTCGGCTTCTCTGAGTCACAGGAATCCCTAGATAAGGATTTAGGCTTGGTAGTCCTCAGCTGCTGCTCTCTTGAGTAAAGTGGGGATGGAACAGGGCATTATTTTATTTTATTTTTTGATTTTTTAAAAAATAATGATTTATTGATTTAATTTCATTTGTTGTTATTATTTTTAAAAATTTGACCAGAGACACAGACAGAGAAAGGGAAAGCAAGAAAGCAAGCTGCCAGGTCCAGGACTCAAACTATGGTCTGCCATGTGGGAATCTAGTACCTTTAACCACTACACCATCTGCCAGCCCCCAGGGGCATTAATTTATGTGAGACACTGCCTTCCAGAGAAAGTACCAGTCTGATGGAAACAGCAAATAGGTGTTACATACATCTGGGGTCCTGACTTGGACAAATAGGAGCATTGCTGGGGCGCCTATGGAAGGAGCTGGAAGATACTTACTTAGTTACTTTAGCCATTCTATTCATTTATGAGCAAATGCTACGTAACAGGTACTGTTAGGAGACGAACTACGTTGTCAATGGCAGCCAAAAGTCACAGTGAATCTTTCTTTCAGCAAGTTCCATGTGCCAGGCTGCGTGGTTCCCATGTTGCTCATTTACTCCACATCACATGCTCACAGGCTCAGAGGAGTTAAGTAACTTTCCCAAAGTCTCAGAGTTAGCACGTAGTGAAAGGAGAAAGCTGACTAAGCTCACACCAGCCAACAATACCACCAACCGGGTCTCCTCCTTCCAGAGAGCTGTACTCTGAGTGTCCTGGGAGATTCCCGAGAGGGGAGTCCACCTGGGGTAATAGGGAGGAGGCATTTGAACCAGCCTCCCAGGATGGATGAAATGTCATCTGTAGGAGGGGGAAAGGTTCTAGGTTTAAGGAAGCAGCATTTACAAAGCCCAAACAGGAACCCCAAGGTAGCGATGAGTTTGGGTATTAGATAGAGCTGTGGTGGGTGAGCATGTGAAGGGCGTGTTTAGGAGCTTGGATGCATCCTATGACAATGGGTGGTCACTCAGTGTAGGGGTTAGAGTAGTTCTGACTGGATAGACCTTGGCAGCAGGGAGGAGGCCATTGACTTGGAACCTTTCAGAGTAGTTCATCTCTGATTCTGTTCCCCTGAGGTTTATACTCTTCCAGTGCTTGCTTAAGACACGATGCCATCATTTAACCTAGACAGATGGTAGAGGCATTACTGTGATTTAAAACACAGATTCTGGGGGTTAGCAAGTTGGCGTGGTGGTTGGGGTTCTGGACTCCTAGATGACCAACCATGATTTGAGTCTCGGACCTGGTGGCTTGCTTTCTCACTTTCCCTTTCTCTCTCTCTCTCTCTCTGGTGAGTGCATGTGCCCTGAAGCAAATGGAAAAAAAAAAAGTGGTTTTTTTTTTGGGGGGGGTGAGAAACAGAGATAGAAAATGAGAAATCACCACCTAGGGGGTATGGCCATACCACAATCCCTTCTCCTCCATTCTCCTCTCAGGATCTTGGGCACGCAGGCTCACATGCCCAGCGTGAGTTTAAGCCACCAGGTCTGGGACTCAAACTGCAGTCGACTACATGGGAGTCCAGCGACGTAGCTATTACGCCAACTGCTGGTCCCAGACTTAAAATATTTTTACTGTATAGATGATACAGGCCCAGCCATGGTAGTACAGTGATAGTGCAATGCTCTGTGATGACGGAAGCCATGTGGAGGATCCGGGATCAGTTCTTGGGTTCACCTGTACACTCTGGGCACGTGTGTATGCCCGTAATCCTGACGGGCTAAGGGGAGCATTGCTGTGTGAGTCCCTGTCAAGGGTGTTTATCTGTCTCTGTGTCTCTCAGTTATGAAAAGAAGTTAACTAACTTACCGTTTATTTCATGAGTGGGTGAAAGAGACAGAGTGAGGGAGCATACACATGCACTCCCAAGAGGGTCTTGATGCCAGGATTCTCCTTTAGCTTTAGCCAGCCCCTGAGCATGAACAGATATGTGTCCAGCATACTCAGGGAGGTCTTTTGGTGTGAACTGAATCCTTCCCATGTGGATCAGCCTCACAGTGCCACATTTTACCTCTGTGTAACCATCTGGCTCCCCAGACATAAATAAATTTAAAAAAAAAAAAAAAAAAGGAAAGATATGTTTGGGGAAAAAAAACACACTTCCGCTTGGAAACTTCCCTTTTCCTGTGATTCCTGGTGCAGTAAATATTACCGCTGGATGTAGTCATAACAGATACTTATTAATTTGTGTTAGGTAACTGGGGATACAGCCATGAACTAAACAGACATGAACTCTGCTCTTATGAGGCCTACAGCTTTGTGGGGGATATGGATATTCATCAAATAATTACCAACTAACTAATTAAATTATGATCAGAGTTGTAATGAAGTGCAGAGAGTATAATTGGCTATGGTGGGTCACTTCCTTGGGGAAACTGAGACCTGAAAAGATAAATGGGACTTAGTCTGCCAGCAAAGGATGGGTTGAGGGTTGGAGAGGGTGGGCAGGCCGAGAATTAGCCTGTGCTGGGGCCGTGGGTTGGGAAAAAGGACCTGAAAGAAGGCCTGTGTGGCTTGAGGACAGAGAGTGAGGGGCAGAGTCAGGCTGGGGGATGAGGCACCAGTGTTAAGTGAAGGCTTTGTAGATGGGATTAAGAATCTGGGTTCAGAGACCAATAGTAGGCATAATGGTTATGTTGCTGGATTCCCATGTAGTTGACTGAGGCTCAAGTCCCAGACCTGGCACCTTAAAACTCATGCTGGGTGCATGTGGTATGGGAGGAGAATGGAGGAAAGGGATTGTGGTGTGGCCATCCCCTCTAGGGGATGATTTCTTGCTTTCTATCTCTCTGTCTCTCTGTCAAGCACACACACCCTATAGCAAAAATCTATCAAAAAAAAAAAAATCTGGGTTCAGTTCTGAGTGCACCAGGAAATACTGAAAAATTCTAGGTAGGAATATGGTGTGATCAGAGTGGCATTTCCAAAGGATTATTCAGGGTGCCCTGGACAGTGAGTTAGATGGGGCAAGAGTAGGCATGTGAGGTGATTCAGGAGGCTTCTTTAATACAGTAGTTCAGAAGAGAGAGGATGGAGGCAGAGGAGGATGTGCTTGAGTTACATGATTTGTTGACTGTCAGGAGCAAGAGGAAGGGGAGTCATCAATGACAACGTCCAGGTTTCTGGTGTGAGCCCCGGGGTGGGCAGTGGTACCTCTGAAGTGTGGGAAGTGCTAGAAGAGAAACGGGTTCGTGAGGAAAGATGGTTGAATTTGTTCTGGACTTGCAGCTGAGATCACTGGAGGACATCTTAGTTGGTGCTAGTGTGCAGTTTAGTGTAAGAGTTTGGAAGAGAGGCCTGAGCAGGAGACAGAATTTTTTTTTTTTTTGGAGAGATTTTTGCTATAGGGCGCGTGCGCTCGCCAGACAGACAGAGAGAGACATAGAGACAGAAAGCGAGAAATCATCCCCCAGGGGGGATGGTCACGCCGCAATCCCTTCTCCTCCATTCTCCTCTCGGGATCTTGGGCATGCACGCACACGCGCCCGGCGTGAGTTTTAAGCCACCGGGTCCAGGACGCGAACCGCGGTCGACTACGTGGGAGTCCAGCGACATAGCCATTACGCTAACTGCTGGTTCCCAGCAGGAGACAGAATTTTGGGAAGTGTGTCAGCTGGGATATTAGTTCGGCTACATGAAACAGAGACTCAAAATATTAGATTATCATTGGAAGATTGAAAATTTTTATTATTGAAAAAAAAATCTTCCCTTTCTTCAGAATAAGCCCCATTCCCTTAGTGAAATCCTCTCCCGACCTCCTTTGACTTCTTCAGAGCTCCCTTATTTGGTCAGTAGGCTTAAGTATATTTTCATAGTTGGCTTTTGCCAATAAATTTAGAAAATATTTGCATACTCTACAATTCTGCTCGTTCTTTTGCCCCTCACTCTAGCCACCATACTAGGGTCAGCCTTGAAAGTGTTAAGCTAAGTGAAAGAAGCCAGACACAGAAGACCACATACCCTGTGAAATGTCCACAATATGTAAACCTATGGTGGTAGAAAGCAGATTGTTTAGTGGCTGCCAGGGCAAGTGAAGAGGAAGGAACAGAGAGTGATTGCTTACAGTTACAGGATTTCTTTTTGGGGTGATGAAAATGTTCTTTTTTTAACAGAGAGATTTTTTTCTATAGGGTATGTGCCCTCGCCAGAGAGACAGACAGAAAGCGAGAAATCACTCCCTGGGGGCCATGGCCATGCCACAGTCCCTTCTTCTCCATTCTCCGCTTGGGAATGCACACACACGCGCCTGGCAAGAGTTTAAGCTGCTGGGTCTGGGACTCAGACTGTGGTCGACTACGTGGGAGTCCAGCGATGTAACCATTATGCCATCTGCTGGTCCCAAAAGTGTTGTAAAATTAGATTGTGGTCATGGTTGTACAGCTTTGTGAATATGTGATAAATTACTGAGTTGGACGCTTGGAAAGGGTTGCATAGTATGTGAATTAACATCTCAGTTTAGCAGTTATAGGTTGGATTTCCCTAATCTGAGAAACTTGAAATCTCCAAATTCTGAAACTGTTTGAACACAGACATGTTAGCACAAATGTAAAATTCCAAACCTTACCTCAGGTCCTTATTTTGCAGTCAAAAATCAGGTTCCCTGCACATAGTTTATTCAGCATCCTCAATAGAAAAAAAAAACCCTCCAAGCCCCATTCTGGTATTTCTTTTTATCTAAAAAAATGAAATATAGTGTACAGTAATGTTTTAATCAAAGCATAGCATTATAGGTGGAGACCCAAATGTCGTTTGCTGTTGCTGCTGTTTAACAGCTGGTGCAGGCGTTTTGGCGATGCTGCTGGGCTGCTTAGTTACTCTGAGCATGTATTGGGTGGTTGGAAAAGTCACGACACACTTCTGTATAGAAAAACAGAAATACATCATGACTTTCCCGATGACCTAATATGTATTTTCCCACTGGTAAATGGTATGTTATTTTAAGTATTTATGTATGAGTAAATGGGGGGTGATTTCTTGCTTTCTGTCTCTCTGTCTCTTTCTGTCTCTCTGTCTCTCTCTCTGGAGAGTGCATGCGCCCTACGGCAAAAATATCTACAAAAAAATGAAAATGATTAATATCAGTAACATATAAATTTAGAGTCAGGAGTGATGGTGATGACAACCACAGCTTGTCCCCATGGGTGACTGAGGGAGTGTCACCTTTGCTTTCTGGTTTTGTTAGTTCAGCTTATACAAACTTCTATGCACAGTTGTTAAAAATATTGTATAATATTGAGACCAGCAGATGGTGTAATGGTTATGTCACTTGACCACGGTTTGAGTCACAGGCCCAGTAGCTTAAAACTCATGCTGAGCGAGTGTACATGTGTACCCAAAATCCCAAGAGCAGAATGGAGAAGAGATTATGGCATGGGCATCCCTCTGGAAGGTAATTTCTCACTTACTGTCTGGTGAACGCGCACCCCATAGCAAAAAGTCTCTATCAAAAAAAAAAAAATATATATATAGTATAAAATTACCATCAGACTGTGTGTATAATGTGTATATGAAATGTAAATAGATTTTTTCATTGCCAGAGAGTGCATGCACTCACCAGAGATGGAGAGAAGGAGAGAGAAGGAGAAAGCACTCCCAATGGGGCATAGTCACACCTCCACCCCATTTCTTATCTCTCCAGCCTTTTGGGATTTGGGCCATACGTACACACGTGCCCAACATGTTTTACAGGCCACTAGGGCTGGGACTAGAAATGCCGTTAGCCACGTGAGATCTGGCTTCCCTTAACCACTAGACTACAGGGTCAGCCCACATAAATGGATTTTGTTTATAGATACTGGCCCTATCCTCAAGATACCTCATTATTGGGAACCAGCAGTTAGCGTAATGGCTATGTCGCTGGATTCCCACGTAGTCGACCGCGGTTCGTGTCCCGGACCCGGTGGCTTAAAACTCACGCCGGGCGCGTGTGCGTGTGTGCCCAAGATCCCGAGAGGAGAATGGAGGAGAAGGGATTGCGGCGTGACCATCCCCCCTGGGGGATGATTTCTCGCTTTCTGTCTCTATGTCTCTCTCTGTCTGTCTGGCGAGCGCACGCGCCCTACAGTGAAAATCTCTCCAAAAAAAAAAAAAAAAAAAATTACCTCATTATTCATGTGTATATATTCCAAAATCTTTAAAAAGAAAAAAACACTGAAACTTCTAGTACCAACCTTAATTTCTTTTTTCATTCTTTAAAGAATTATTTAACTTTATTTATTTTTTAATTTGGTCAGAGATGGGCAGAGTGAGAGGAGGAGAGAAAAAGCAAGCTGCCAGGTCTGGTATTCAAACTGTAGTCGGCCATGTGAGAGTCCAGCACCCTTAACCACCATGCCACCTACTGGCCCCAGTACTTTTTAAAAAAATTTGCAATAGGGTACATGTCCTTCCCAGAGAGAGAAAGTGAGAAAGCACCCCTGGGTGGGTGGAGGGGATGGCCTCACTGCAGTCCTTTTTTCTCCATTCTCCTCTTGACATTTTCATGCAGGTTTTTCAAGCCACTAGTCTGGGACTTAACTATGCTGTTAGTCATGTGGTATCCAGCTGCCCTAACCGCTATACCACCTAGCTGGCCCAGTCCCAAGAATTTGGAAAAAGGGATACGAAACTTGTATTTGAAAAAAATCCCAGGGTCAAAAGATCAAGTTTTGGGGGCCAGCAGGTGGCATGGTGGTTAAGGGCACTGGACTCCCACGTGGCCAACTGCGGTTTGAGTCCCAGACCTGGCGACTTGCTTTCCCTCTCTCTTTCTCTCTCTCTCTCTCTTTGCCTCTCTCTGGTGAGTGCACATGCCCTACAGCAAATATGAAAAAATAATGAATAAAATGAAATAAATGATTCTTTGAAAGAAAATAAATCAGGTTTTCACTTCTCTCAACCAACTGTTCTTTTTTCTATCAGGAAGCGTCACACATGCATAGCACCACTTGTTATGGTCTCGTTCCCTTTCCTGGCCCCTACTCACCCTTCTGCATTCTTTTTTTCATACTAATTTGTTTCTCTTGTACCCTTAGTCAAGGGTCACACTGAATCTAGATACCACATGTGTGGTACCAACTTGCCATTTTTATTTTTTTCCTCTGGGTGCACCTTGAGGACAATACTAAGTTGCCCGTTTCCTTTCCAGCGGAAGGCAGGCAGATTGCTGCCAACATGAGGGGTATTGGGATGATGCCCAATGACATTCCGGAGTGGAAGAAGCATGCCTTTGGGGGCAACAAAGCTTCTTATGGAAAAAAGACCCAGATGTCAATCATTGAGCAGAGGGAGAGCCTGCCTATTTACAAACTGAAGGAGCAGTTGGTTCAGGTGAGATGCCCTTGTCTGAAGCACTGGTCGGGGAGGAGTATGGGATTTTCTAAAAGAAGGATGACATTTTAAAATGGAAATGAGCAACCAATATGTGCATTTTTGAAGTGGCTCTTCCAAAAGAGATTAAAAAGAAAAAAAAAAAACACAAAATATTTCCAAGTTCTTTTTTTTTTTTTTTTGAGAGATTTTCACTATAGGGCACGTGTGCTCTCCAGACAGAGAGAGACATAGAGACAGAAAGTGAGAAATCACCCCCCAGGGGGCATGGTCACACTGCAATCCCTTCTCCTCCATTCTCCTCTCAGGATCTTGGGCACGCACTCTTGCCTGGCATGAATTTTAAGCCACCGGGTCCAGGACGTGAACCACGGTTGACTACGTGGGAGTCCAGTGACATAGCCATTACGCTAACTGCTGGTTCCCATCCAAGTACTTTTTAAAAAACTGTTTATTAGTCTGTGCTTTTTACTTATAATGAAATAAGTCTATTTGAATCAGAGACCCTAGAGCAGTTCCAGGTGAACAGAATATCATGTTGCATGGACTGCCAGCTCTGGTCACCACTGCCAATGAACCCAGATAGCCTGGGACTTGTTTTAAGGACTTGTTTCTGTATTCTGGAGTTCTGATTTTAAGACCACCAAACTGTCCTTGAGGCAACCAAGTTTACTAGTTTTTCAGTGAATCCTTTCAACAATATCTTATATGTATACAAACACATATGTATGCATACACATGTGTCTTATACATGTACTGTTTATTGATAGCAGTATATTATATACATTGTTTTGCATTTTGTTTTTTCTGCTTAATGATATATTAACAGATTTGTCTTTTTTTTTAATTACTGCCTTTTTAGTGCTTTGTTATGTGGATGTATTTTGGCTTATTTAACTGCTTCTTGCATAAGGTAACTCTTGGTGAGAGGTACTGGAGATTTAGGATTGGTAGTGGAAATACCTTTACATGTCTTTTAAATTTATTAATTCTTTAACTGTGTGTATGTGTCTGTTTTCTCATTTAGTGTTAGAATATAAACATTAATTATTTTACTCCATAGTAACATGTGACAGATTTTTATGATTATATTCTGTTGCTTTCAGGCTGTTCATGACAATCAGATCCTGATTGTTATTGGAGAGACAGGATCTGGGAAGACAACGCAGATCACCCAGTACCTGGCAGAGGCAGGCTACACTTCTAGGGGCAAGATCGGGTGTACCCAGCCCAGAAGAGTGGCAGCCATGTCAGTGGCCAAAAGGGTGTCAGAGGAATTTGGTTGTTGCCTAGGCCAAGAGGTAAGTGGACAGTGAAGTCGCTCTGGGAATGCCGGAAGAAAACTAATATATAGGCCCAGATCTCTGATCCGTAAACTGGAAATAGTTCTACCTTTTTTCAGGTTTCTCCTGGGGGAAAGAAGGTTTTTCCTCATTGTTAGCATTGATCTGCTCAGGGTCAGATCCAAGGCAGTCAATTTTTTTTTCCTTGAGAGAGGTTTTTGTGATAGGGTGTGTAGGCTTGTTGGAGAGACAGAAAGAGACAGAGAGACAAAAAGTGAGAAATCACCCCCCATCAATGGCCACACTGCAACCCCCTCTCCATTTTCCTCTTGGACACACACGGACATGCACCTGGAATGAGTTTTAAGCTGCCAGGTCCAGGACTTGAACTATGGTCGACTATGTGGGAGTCCAGCAATGTAACCATTATGCCATCTGCTGGTCCCTCAAGTCTTTACTATGAAGAAATCATTGTACATCTTGGGCAAATTCTTATCTATGAGTATTGAGTTAACTGTCTGATGGGCCAAAATCTTTCCTGGTGATTACAAAAAGAAAGGTTTGTGTCTTAGTTTTCCAATTCTGTTCTGTTTAGGTGGGCTACACCATTCGATTTGAAGACTGCACTAGCCCTGAAACAGTCATCAAGTACATGACGGACGGGATGTTGCTCAGAGAGTGCCTGATTGACCCTGACCTCACTCAGTATGCCATCATCATGCTGGACGAGGCACATGAGAGGACAATTCACACCGATGTACTCTTTGGATTGCTGAAAAAGGTAACTAGGTGCCTTTTTTTTTTTTTTTTTGGAGAAGTTTTTGCCATAGGGTGCGTGCGCTTGCCAGAGAGAGAGAGACAGAGAGATAGAAAGCGAGAAATCACCCCACCGGGGGGATGGCCACGCCGCAATCCCTTCTCCTCCATTCTCCTCTCGGGATCTTGGGCACGCAAGCACACGCGCCCGGCGTGAGTTTTAAGCCACCGGGTCCAGGACGTGAAACGTGGTCGACTACGTGGGAGTCCAGCGACATAGCCATTACTCTAACTGCTGGTTCCCAGTACCTGTGCCTTTTCAGGTAGTCCTTGTGTTTTTTTGTTTGGTTGCGTTTTGGTTTTTGTTTTTTTAAGCCATAGGTCATGTGTGCTCACCAGAGAGAGAGACGGGGGCAGTGGCCATGCTGCAATCCCTTCTCCTTTAGTCTCCTCTTAGGATTTTGGGTACACCCACACATACCTGGCATATTTTTCAAGCTGCAATGTCTGGGACTCAAACCACACAGCTGGCCACATGGGATCCAGCACCTTAACCTCCATACCACCTGCTGGCCCTCGAGTAGTCCTTTATAGTAAGATATGTCACATTTCCCCTCAGACTGTTCAGAAACGACAGGACATGAAGTTGATTGTCACCTCAGCCACCTTGGATGCAGTGAAGTTTTCCCAGTACTTCTACGAAGCTCCCATCTTTACCATCCCAGGTCGGACATATCCAGTGGAGATACTTTACACCAAGGAACCTGAGACAGATTATCTGGATGCCAGCCTGATCACTGTTATGCAGATTCATTTAACGGAGCCACCAGGTAAGGGGAAAGCATTTTTTCCTGTTAAGCCAAAAGTCCTGATATTGGTATCTTTTTAGCTAACATTTAAAAAAATACCTCTTAGGGACTAGCAGGTAGTGTAATGGTTATGTTGCTGGACTCCTACATAGTCGACCGTGGTTTGAGTCCCTGACCCAGCAGCTTAAAACTCATGCCAGGCATGTGTGCGTCCCTGCCCAAGATCCTGAGAGGAGAATGGAGAAGGGATTATGGCATAGCCATCCCCTCTGGGGGTGATTTCTTGCTTTTTGTCTCTCTCTCACTGTCTCTCCAGTGAGCACATGTGCCCTATAGCAAAAATCTCTCTTAAAAACAGAGACCAGCAGATGGCCTAATGGCTATGTAGCTGGACTTCCATGTAGTCAATCACGGTTCGAGTCCTGGATATAGTGGCTTAAACTCATGCCGGGCATGTGGGCATGTGTGCCCAAGATCTTGAGAGGAAACTAGAGGAGAAGGGGTGGCGGCATGGCCATCTTTCCTGGGGGGATGATTTCTCGCTTTCTGTCTTTCTGGTGAGCACATGCACACTATAACAAAAAACTTCTCAAAAAACAAACAAACGAAAAAATGCCTTTTAAGCATTAGTCTCCATAACCTTAAACTTGGGCGTCTGAAGTGGTGGTGGTGAAAATATAAATAATGGTGTGTGGAGTTTAAATGCACCTATTTTAACATGGACAGATGATAACATCTTAGTTTGTTTGGAAGCTAGAATATGTGTTATTTAGAAGTCTGTTAATATTTCTAACACAAAAAGTAAGTTAATATTCCCTATTCTTCTCGTAGGTGATATCCTAGTCTTTCTGACTGGTCAGGAAGAGATCGATACTGCTTGTGAGATCCTGTATGAAAGGATGAAATCCCTCGGACCTGATGTTCCAGAGTTAATTATTCTCCCAGTGTACTCTGCTCTTCCCAGTGAGATGCAGACCCGGATCTTTGACCCAGCTCCCCCTGGCAGCAGAAAGGTAACACTGGGCAAAAATGAAGCTCCCATGGGCCTTAAAACCAAGTGGTATGTGCAGCTGACCCTAATGGGGATTGCTAAGGTGTATGTGAGTCTCATTATATTAGATTGTTGGAAAGATCATGATGCATTTTTACATAGAAAAATAGATCGTGACTTTTCTAACCACCCAATATTTTAGAGATTGGTCCAACCAGCTTGTTTAGAATAAAGGTTTGGTATGTGACTTCTCCTTTTTCTCTGCTCTTTCATTCAAATAATATTTTTTGAGCATCCACCAGGTTTTGGGTTACACTGGGGCTGCAAGATGAGGACTAGCCTCTGGCTACTGTGGGACAGCCCCCAGTGGGCTCTAAGTCTTCAACACGAAATGTGAAAATGCTCATGGTTCTCTGGATAGCCAGGTGGGAGCACCTGATCTAGGGGGTCTTTTTAGGGGAAAGAAGAATCAAAACTAGTCCTTGAGGAACTTGGGAAAGGTGGGGTGGGGTGCAGCTTCTAAGAACATAGAACTGTCTGCCATGGCCTGGAGGCAAGAGATGGGGTTAATTCAGGAAGTTGCCTAGTTTTAGTAGCTGGAACTGAACGTGTATAGGAGGCAGGTGAATTTGTTTCTTCTTTAATTTGTCAGAAGGTACTTAAATGAGACCAGCAGTTAGCGTAATGGCTATGTCGCTGGACTCCCACGTAGTCGACCGTGGTTCATGTCCCGGACCCAGTGGCTTAAAACTCAAGCCGGGCGCGTGTGCGTGCGTGCCCAAGATCCCGAGAGGAGAATGGAGGAGAAGGGATTGTGGCGTGGCCATCCTCCCTGGGGGGTGATTTCTCGCTTTCTGTCTCTCTGTCTGGTGAGCACACGCACCCATAGCAAAAACCTCTAAAAAAAAAAAAAAAGAAAAGAAAAAGAAGGCACTTATATTCACCAGATGGAGAGGGAAAGTGAGAAAATACCCTTTTGTGCGGGATGGTGACACTGCAATCCCTTCTCCATTTCTTCCTCCTTTTTTGATTCTTGACACGTCTATGTGCCTAGCACGTTTTCAAGCCACCAGGTCCAGGACTTGAACTGTGCAAGTTAGCCATGTGAGATCCAGCTGCCTTAACCACCACACCACTGGCTGACCAGATTTCTTTTTTTTAACAGCTTTGAGGCCAGCAGGTGGCATAGTGGTTAAGAGCACTGGACTCTCACATGGCTAACCATGGTTCAAGTCCCGGTCCTGGAGGCTTGCTTTCTCACTTTTTCTCTCTCTCTCTCTCTTTCTCTCCCCCCATCCCCTTCTCTGTATCTCTCTCTGGAAATATTAAAAAATAATAACAACAAAGTTAAATAAAATAATTCTTTAAGGAAAAAATAACAACTTTTGGCACTGGCAGGTGGTGATGTGGGTAAAGGCAGCTGGACTCCTAACGACTGACTGCAGTTCAGTTCCCAGACCTGGCAGCTTGCTCTGACACTTTCCTTCTCTCTTTCTCTCTTTCTTTCTCTCTCTCTCTGTCTCTGTCTCTCTCTCTGGTCAAGTTAAAAAAATAAAAAGTAAAAATAAAAAAATGAATAAGATTACATTTTAAAATTCTTTAAAAAATTAACAGCTTTGTTGAGATATAATTTATATACCATACCCTTTTAAAGCACACAATTCAGTGGCTTCTGTTATATTCACAGAATTGTCTAACCATCACAGCTGGTTTTCAAACAATTTTATCATAATAAGCCATGTCTCCTTTAGCAGTCATCTCTCCCAAATTTCCCTTCTGCTTAGCCTCTGGAAACCCCTAATCTCCATCTTGGCAGATTTGCCTGTTCTAGACATTTCACATAAAGGAAATTAAGTAAATCAAGTAATAAGAGGTCCTTTGTAGTGCTTTTTCACGTAGCATGTTTTCATGATTCATCCATGTTACAGTATTCATCAGTACATCATGTCTCTTCATCAGTACATCATGTCTCTTTCATTTTAATTGCCAGAGGGTATGTACACTTGCCAGAGAAAGATGAGAGACAGAGAGACAGACAAGAGAGAGAGAGAAAGTACCTGCCAGTAGGACATGGTCATGCCATAGTCCCTTCTCCCTTTTCCACCTTGTCAGGATTTGGGGCATGCATGCACACATACCTGGCATGGTTTTCAAGCTACCAGGGCTGGGATTTGAGCCTCAACTGGTTGTGTGGGCTCTGAGTTCCTTAACCATCAGGCTATGGGTTAGCCAATAAAGTTTTAATTATAAATTAGGCACAGTAAGAGATTAGTGACAGTAACTACTTATAAAATAGAATAATTATAACAATATAGTGCTCTAAAATGAATATATATGGTTGCTTTCTCTCTGTCAGTATCTTTTATTTATTTATTTATTTTTATCAGTTTTTGCTATAGGGTGTGTGTGCTTGCTGGAGAGAGAAAGAAAAGTCACCCCTCGGGAATGGCCATACTGCAGCCCTTTCTCTTCTGTTCTCCTCTCTGGATTTTGGGCCATGTATGCACATGTGCCTGACATGGTTTTTTGTTTTTTGGGTTTTTTTTTTTTTCGAGGTTCTCACTATAGGGTGCATGTGTTCGCCAGACAGAGAGAGACAGAGAGACAGAAAGCAAGAAATCACCCCCCAGGGGGGATGGCCACGCCACAATCCCTCCTCCTCCATTCTCCTCTCAGGATCTTGGGCACGCACGCACACGCACCCGGCGTGAGGTTTAAGCCATCAGGTCTAGGACGCGAACTGCGGTCGACTAAGTGGGAGTCCAGCGACATAGCCATTACGCTAACTGCTGGTGCCTGCCTGACATGTTTTTCAAGCTGCCTGATCTGGGACTTGAACTGCTCAGTCAGCCATGTGGGATCCAGCTGCCTTAATCTCTGTGCCATTGGCTGGCCCCCTCTCACAATATCTTTTAGTAGTATATTCATCTATTTTTGTTTTTCTTTTTTTGTTTAGGTTTATTTATTTATTTCTTCCAGATGACAGAGACAGAGACAGAGAAACAGATACTCCCACCAAGGTTTTTTGCCATTCCCAACATCAGCTAGCCTGGGTCATGAACATGCATGCCCAGTGTACTCAGGCAGGTCCTTGAATGTGAACCCAGGACCTTTTCCATGTGTGTCCAGTTCTGTTACCACATGCTTGGCCCTTTACCTGTTTTTGGATTATGGTTGACCATGGATAACTGAAACTGAGGAAGTAAAATGGATAAGAGGAGGCTAGTGTGTTGTTGAATACTGTTCTGTTTCGTATAGCCATTCATCAGCTGTCAGACATTTGAGTTGTTTTCAGTTCTGGGCTATTGTGAATAATGCTGCTGGAACATTCATTTACAAGTCTTTGTATGGATGTATGTTTTCTTTCTCTTGCGTGTATTCCTAGGAGTGGAAGACAGGTCATGTTTGAGTAACACTGAAGAGTTAGAATGGACAAGACAGGGTGCCAGGAAGTGGAAGGGAGAAAGGGAAGGAAAAAGTAAGGCATGACTCTCAGCAGTCTGACTTGGGCAGCCAGATGGAAGATGGTGCTAAGGGAGGAGACATAGGAGGAAGAGCAGATTTAGGGAGGTAGATGGTGAATTTCTCCTCTTGTATATGAACTCTACTTCCTTTTGTCCTTCATTTGACAGATATTTTCTGAGCATCTACCAGGCTATTCCTGATGGCTGGACTTCTTTCTGTGTAGGACCTCTGTGGCTCTATAGCAGATAGAAGTCTTTCAGGGCTTGTAAGATGCTGGCATGATACAAGATGTTCTGGTGCCTCTTAGCAATGATTTTTCCAAGCAATTGTGTTTTATTAGCTGAATCTCTGGGTGGAAGAACAGTGACAGTGCCAAGCTGAGACTAATAATCTTCTAGATCACATATACTGCTACATACACACAAACCATGAAATCCCTCTGTTGTCTCATGGTTCATTTTATGATCAGGAAAAAAAAAATGAAAAAACAAAAAACAATCTCCCTCTTGTTCCACATATACAGAAAGCCCATTTTGTAGTCCAGATGTCTCGGTGGAGGAAAGAAAAATCTCATTTTGCACTGGCACATGTGAGGCTAGGAAAGCTCTGCTTTCCCAGGATGCTAGAAAATTAAAATTATAGTAATCGACATTGGATATAGACGACGTCTGCGCCACATGAAATTGGCTTTAACTGGCCTTAGCTTTTCCTTTTCCCTATGCTGGTTCTCTCAGGTACCACCCCCTCTCCAACCTACCCCTTAAAGCGAAGACACCCTTTCCTCCCCTGGAGGCTGATCTGGGATTAAGTGTTGTCTCAACTGTCTAAAAGGAGAGATAGCCACACACTCCTTTGAGAAGGTGTCTGAGTCAGAACTCCCATTTCATATCTTGGCTGAGCTTGAGCAGCTCACTCCAGCTGTGCCCCTCCCACCTGCAGGTCGTGATTGCCACCAACATTGCAGAGACATCGCTGACTATCGACGGCATCTATTACGTGGTGGACCCTGGATTTGTGAAGCAGAAAGTTTACAATTCCAAGACAGGGATCGACCAGCTCGTGGTGACACCAATTTCTCAGGTACAGAGACTTCTACCAACTGCTTTCCTGAAAATCTTAGTTAGGGCCTTTTTGATTTTTTTATGGTTCTGTATTTTGACGTTCATAGATGAACCTTTAAGATGCTGGGTGCTTTAGTGGGATAAGGGGGTGGTTTTGTGTTTCTCTTTTTAACCTTTAGAGTAGCATTTCAACATTGAAATGTCCCATAACGCTTGAACTTAAAAAAAATGTTTGACTCCTATTGTCCTGTATTACCAATTTAAGTGGAAAGAACATATTTTCTAAAATACTGTACTTAGACATAGATATCTGGGATAATAAGAATTCATGAGATGATTATGTATTTCTTTGGTAATTATGGAATAATTTCCTACCTAAATTATATTTGAAAATGAATTACTTAATTATCTCTTTTTTTTTTTTTTTGTAGAGATTTTCACTGTAGGGCGCGTGCGCTCGCCAGACAGACAGAGAGAGACAGAGAGACAGAAAGCGAGAAATCACCCTCCAGGGGGAATGGTCACGCCGCAATCCCTTCTCCTCCATTCTCCTCTCAGGATCTTGGGCACGCACGCACACGCGCCCATTAATTATCTTTTTGAGGTCAGTTTAGCAACAGCGTATCCAAAATTTAGAAGTTCATCCCTTAGGGCCGGCAGGTGGTGTGGGGATTAAGGCAGCTGGACTCCCTCATGGCTGACCATGGTTCAAGTCCTAGATCTGGCAGCTTTCTATCTCATTTTCCTTCTCTCTCTGTCTTTCTCTGGTCAACCTCAAAAAAAAAAAGTTCATCCCTTTAACCTAACTATTCCACCTCTAGGACTTTATGTGAAAGTTAGAGATGATGGAACATCTATCCAAAGGTAATGGAAAAGGGTTGTTCTTTTTTTTTTTTTTTTTGGAGGGGGAGAGGTTTTTGCTATAGACACACGTGCTCACCAGAGAGACAGAAAGCGAGAAATCACCCCCCGGGGGGATGGCCACGCCGCAATCCCTTTTCCTCCATTCTCCTCTCAGGATCTTGAGCACGCACGCACATGTGCCTGGCATGAGTTTAAGCCACTGGGTCCAGGACTCCAACCGCAGTCGACTACGTGGGAATCCAGCAACATAGCCATTATGCCAACTGCTGGTCCTGTGAAGTGTCATTCATTTAAGCAGTGTTTATGTTACAGGAAACTTGGAAAAAATTCTACATGTGTTCTAAAAGGGAAGTAGGTTTCTTTTTTGGAGAGGTTTTCGCTATAGGGCGCGTGCGCTCACCAGAAAGACACAGAGAGACAGAGAGACAGAAAGTGAGAAATCACCCCCCAGCGGGGATGGCCACGCCACAATCCTTTCTCCTCCATTCTCCTCTTGGGATCTTGAGCACGCACGCACATGTTCCCAGTGTGAGTTTAAGCCACTGGGTCCGAGACTTGAACCGCGGTCGACTACATGGGAGTCCAGCGACATAGCCATTATGCTAACTGCTGGTCCCTAAAAGGGAAGTAGTTTAATAAAATATTGTGTACCCATGCCATAGGAGGTATGGCATTAACATAGTGATATGTGTTTATATTTGATGAAATAAGTATGTAACTGGTTTATTTTTTGAAAAAATTGTACTACAAGTTAACATGAGTGGTATAATCCAATTTTTGCATAAAAATAAATGGTATGAGGTCCAGCAGGTTGCATAGTGGTTAAGGTACTGGACTTCCACAGGCCAACTGTGGTTTGAGTTGCAGACCCAGTGGCTTGAAAATCATACCAGGCACCTGTGTGTGAGTGCCCAGAATCCTAGGAGAAGAATGGAGGAGAAGGGATTGTGGCATGACCATCCCCCCAGGAGTGATTTCTTTTCCTTCTCACTGTCTCTCTCCATTCCTCTCTCTCTCTCTCTTGGGAATGCACATGCACCCTATATAGCAAAAAACTTAAAAAAAAAGGTGTGCATTTCTGCAAAATGTGCTTGAGTGAGGCACACCTGAGATGAAAAGCATGTATTAGTCTAAATGCTACAGATGAAGTTACTTCTGGATGGTGCTACTGGTTATTGTACTGAAGAGTAATGTACATTTTTCTTTAATACTTTTATATTTTGCCTTAATCTTTTACAAAGGGCATTTACTACTTTCATAATCCGAAAATCATAAGGCTGTCTTTATTTTGAAATTTAGGTAATAACAATAGCTGACACTTTGAGAAACACTGTAAGTACCAGGCACTGTCTTAGGTATTTTTACGTAGACAGACTCAGCACATTCTCATATGGCTCCAGATGGTAGATGTTATGCTCATTTTACAGAGGAGAGGAGGCACAGAGGCGTTAAGTGACTTGTCTAACATCACATAGCTGGTGGAGTCAGAATTTGAACATGGGCAGCATGACTGTAGCTTGTATGATCTGTACTGCTTCTAAGGGCAGTCTGTGACACTCAAAGTTGCACATGCCTTTCCTACTTTGGGAAGAGGCATCTTTTGAATTCTGTGGAGTCCTGTCTAGTACTATTGTGGCCTGGATTGTGTGGTTAGTTGTCCTTGCATACCCCATCGTTTAGTTTGGACCTGGCCTCATAATTTGTAAATCTGGTACTATTTGTAACAACAGATGGATTTTTCAGAAAATAGCCCTTTTCAGATTGCTATTCACTGTTTCCTAGCAACCTACAGCTAAACTACATTTTATTTTCCATTGAAAAAATTAACATGCCCCTCCCAAGCTTAGAAGTACTATTATGATATTTTTGGAAAATAAGAGAAAAAATTTCCTACTGTCATCATTTTGGTGTTTTTCTTTCCTATTTTTTTGTATGTGTATATTTGTTTCATTAATGGTTGCAATTCTAGTAGTAAAGTAAGTGTAGTGTTTTATATATATATATATACACACACACACACACACACATATGTGTGTGTGTGTGTGTGTATATGTGTGTCTGTGTATATATGTTGGGTTTATTTCTTTTATGAGAGAGAGGCAGAGAGTAAAGCATCCCCAAAAGGGTCATGATGCTGTGATCCACTCCCAGCTTCAGCCAGCCTTGGATCATGGGTATGTGCCTGCCTGGTGTAATCAGGAAGGTCTCCAGATGCAAATCCAGAACCTTCCCATGTGGGTCAACCTTGCAGAGTGTTTCTTTTTACCACTATGCCGCTACCCAGCCCCCCTCATAGATTTTTTTTTTTTAAAGTGTCAACTTTTTCTGATTAGTAAAATAATACATGTCAGTATTGAATGTCAGGTAAAGTCTAAAGAAAATACAATTCATCCTCAAGCCTACCATCAGAGTTAATCACTTTTAACATTTTAGGGTATTTTTTTCCCCAGTCATTTCCTTCTGGTAATTTACATATGCACATAAAGATTTTACAACATTTGGCCCAGTCTAGTGGCACAATTGGTAGCAGTGGTGAAAGCCACATGGCTCACTGTGGGTTGGGATTCCCAAGTCAGCCTGAAAACATGCTGGGTTCATACATGTGTATCCAAGAAATTGACAAGCTGGAGGGTTGTGGGAAGGGATCACAGCATGGCAAGACCCTATCGGGGTGTTCTCTTTCGCCCTCTGGTGCACATGCCTGAGTTTCTGCTTTGAATAAAAATAAGCTTTTAATAAATTAATGTTATATTATTTAATAACTTGCTTTTCCCACTTAATGTGAGTGAATGTTTCCTTCTGTCCTTGAACATTGCAAACCTACTTTTAAAAACAACTGTAGAGGAGCTGGCAGGTGGTGTGGTGGTTAAAGGTGCTGGACTCCCACCTGGACCTGGTGGTTTCCTTTCTCATTTCCCTTTCTCCCTCTGTCTCTCTCTGGTCAAATTGGAAAACAATAATAAATAAAGTTAAAATGATATAATTCTTAAAAAAAAAAAAAACTGCATGGGACCAGCAGGTGGCATGATAGTTACAGATACTGGACTCCCACATGGCTGACTATGGTTCAAGTCATAGACCTGATAGCTTGCTTTCTCACTTTTCCCTCTTTCTCTTGCTCTTTTTCTGATCAAATAAAATAATAACAAATAAATAAAGTGAAATAAAAACTGCAGAATCGGGAACAGCAGTTAGCATAATGGCTATGTCACTGGATTCCCATGTAGTCGAGCGTGGTTCGAGTCTCGGACCCAGTGGATTAAAACTCATGCCGGGCACATGTATGTGCATGCCCAAGATCCCAAGAGGAGAATGGAGGAGAAGGGACTGTGGTGTGGCCATCCCCCCCTGGGGGGTGGTTTCTTGCTTTCTGTCTCTCTGTCTCTCTGTGTCTTTCTGGTGAGCGCATGCACCCTGTAGCAAAAACCTCTCCAAAAAACAAAACAAAACCAAACAAACTGCAGAATCATCATCAGTGTGATCAATATAATTTATTTAGTTCACTTAGGTTTTTGTAACTGTGGGGATAGTGTTTTGTCATTTTGTTTCTCTTTTCTATTGTGCCACACTGCTTTGAAGGCTTATCTCTGAGATCTTTGTAATATTTCTTCCATTTGCCCTGTTTGTCTTTACCTTCCTGACCAAACTTCCCTGAAGTGTTGAGTATGGAGAGGGGATGCACTAGTACTCTTGGAAATGATTCTAAAGGAAGGGAAATAAACCCCCTTCCTGGTTTTGCCAGTTGCTAAGTGTCCTCCATTTAACAGATTTCCTGGGTAAAGCTGTTAAGCAGTATTTAATAGCTATGTTCCTTTTATATGCCCACCCCTCTAGGCTCAGGCAAAGCAACGAGCTGGCAGAGCTGGGAGAACGGGCCCAGGGAAGTGTTACCGGCTGTACACTGAACGTGCCTACCGAGATGAAATGCTGACCACCAATGTGCCAGAAATCCAGAGAACCAACTTAGCAAGCACAGTGCTGTCACTTAAGGTAGAAATCACTATCTCGTTAGAATGGGTTGGAGAAACAGTCCAATTCTGTAGCTTAGTAAATGAATCTCAGTTTTATGAACCTTGTTAAATACTTTAGTAACCTCATGCAACCATTCCCTTTGAGTGAAATGCACATGACTGTGATAACAACCTCTCCACGGCGATGGGGCTGGGGCTAAGTTGGCATGTCTGCTGTGAATACACATCTTTTCTTACCATAATAGCTACCGCGATATTTGATTATAAAATGTTTTAGTTAGGAACATTTTCTAAAAGGAAATTAGAAAAATAAAATCCATGCCAAACTGTAGACAAACACACTTAACCTCAACCGCTTAACTGTCGAGTCTAATTTTGTTCTTTTAGAATAGGAGGCAAACTCCCTATCCAAAAACTTTGCAAGGGGACTATCAGTTGAGATTTCTGACTGGCGCTGTAGGGGCTTGCTTTTCCTTCTGAATCATTGCTCTTCCTCTCTCAGTCCCCAGTGAGGACCTTCATTCTCTTTTGGCAGGAGGAGCTGCATGAGTAATTTCCCAGCTGATAGCCTTTCCCCTGATGCTGCTGCTTCTCTGGAGCACTGGCACTTCACTGGTGCAGAGTGCTCTTATTTATTATTCATTCCCTGTAAGAGAGGCTAAAACAGAGCTTTAGGAAAAAAGCCTGCTCCGGTCTCTGGAGTCCAACAGAAAGGCATCTGTGGCTCAGACTTCAGCTCCAAGCTGTGTGACTTTGGGCAGGTTTCTCTCCTCTGCCCTCTGCACTGTGTTCTTGTCTCAAAAAGGATGTTGTTGATAGAATCTGTTGTACTGATAAGTGAGATAATGTAGGTAAAGGCCCTTGGCGCAGCGTTTCATGATCGCTGACATAATTCCTTGTCGTTACTCACACCGTAAGCATTTATTGAACACCTGCTATATTTATGCTCATGGATCACTTGATGAGAAAGAAATAGAAAACTTACCAGATGATCCTACCAGATGACCCTTTATGCACCCTTAAATGCTGCATCATCCAGTCATTTCTTTTATTCATCAAGTTAGCTAACCAGTGTATTGAATGCCTGCTGTGTGTTTTGAGTTGTGGGCCCTACCTTAAGATAGAAATCACTATCTGGTTAGAATGGGTTGTGGCCTAGTAAGTGAATCTGTATTACGAACCTTGTTAAATACTTTAATAATCTCATGCAGCCATTCCCTTTGAGTGAAATGCACATTTCACTGAAATGGGACTGAAAAACACATAGGGTGTGGTCCATGTGTATGCGTGCCCAAAATCCCAAGAGGAAAATGGAGATGGGATTGTGGTTGGCCATCTCCCCAGGGAGTGATTTCTCACTCTCCCTCTCTCTCTATCTCTCTTTGTCTCTTTCTGGCAAGCAGCCATAGACCAAACTTAAAAACAAACAAATAAATAGAATATGCAAGAGACAGAACAAGCTGGTATTTTTTTATTTTTTAATTGTGGTGTTCGCCCTTTTGTGATTGAGTTGAATGTAATATTAATACTTTTTGTTTCTGTCCATGTTTGTAGGTATACATTAAATCCCTAGAAAAAAAGTCCCAGAATTTTCCCTCCTGTGTTGTTGAATTCTTCCATGAGTGAGAGATCGAGAAAGAGAGAGAGAGAGGAACAGCAGCAGGAAGAGGGTCTTGACACCACAATACCTCCAGCTTCAACTAGCCCTGGATCACGGGCACATGCATGTCTGATGTATTTAGGGAGGTCTTTGGACATGAACCCAGAACTTTCCCATGTGGATCAGCCTTGTAGAGCTCTCATTTTACTGTTGTGTCACCATCTGACCCCTTCCTCTGTTTTCTTTTTTTAAAAAGAATAATTTATTGGGACCAACAGTTAGCATAATGACTATATCGCTGGACTCCCACGTAGTTGACCGCGGTCCCCTTTCTATCTCTCTGTCTCTCTCTGTCTGGCGAGCACACGCGCCCTATAGCAAAAAAAAAACCTCTCCAAAAAAAAAAGAAAAAAGAATTTATTTAATCTTTGTTTATTATTATTATTATTATTATTATTATTATTATTATTTTAATTTGTTATATGATGTGTGCTCAGCAGAGAAGAAACAGAAACTCCAGCCACTGGTCTGGCGCTAGAACGGTGGGGGTCAGCCATGTGGAATCTGGCTGCCTTAACCACTAGGCCATGCGGAGGCCATGGAGCCTCCATGTTACTCTGGTGAGGCTGACCCTCCGATCACATGCTTTCATCCTTCTCTTCTAGGCCATGGGCATCAATGACCTGTTATCCTTTGACTTCATGGATGCCCCACCAATGGAAACCTTGATCACAGCCATGGAGCAACTGTATACGCTGGGGGCCCTGGACGATGAGGGCCTGCTAACTCGCCTGGGCCGCAGGGTAAGGAACAGACTTCCTGGGCTTTTGGGAAGATTCCATGGTCAGCCTCTCATATTCTTTGGTCTGTGTAGAATTAAGCTCTGAGGTCCAGGATGAACTTTGAGTAGAATTCTAAATGCTTGCTTTTAACCTGAATTTCTCTGCTGTCACTTTAAACTTTTTTTTGGGGGGGTGGGGGGAGAGTTTTTTTGCTATAGGGCGCGTGCGCTCGCCAGACAGACAGAGAGAGACATAGAGACAGAAAGCGAGAAATCACCCCTCAGGGGGGATGGTCACGCCACAATCCCTTCTCCATTCTCCTCTCTCGGGATCTTGGGCACGCACGCACACGCGCCCGACGTGAGTTTTAAGTTACCAGGTCCGGGACGCAAACTACTGTCGACCACGTGGGAGTCCAGCGACATAGCCATTACACTAACTGCTGGCTCCCAAACTATTTCTTCTTTACAGAGAATAGGATTCTCTTAATTTAACTCAGGATATATTATGTAGCCTAGCCTTAATTTTAAAAGGTGTCTGCAAAAATCCTACCTCCCCGAACAATAGTTATATCCTTGATCACATACATTCTATTGGGGTTTCTTTGAGAAGTAAATAACAGCATTCTTCCTGATAGCAGCAGGCATCCCACATCACCGTTCTTTGGGGAAATCTCCTATGGTCTATTACCCTGCTGACCAGTGTCTCGCGCTGGTGAGTCCAGATGTTCCTGCTGTCTCCCACAGGAAAGCAGGCATAGTTCTCTTTTCTCCCTCTAGATGGCAGAGTTCCCTCTAGAGCCAATGCTATGCAAAATGCTCATCATGTCTGTGCACCTGGGCTGCAGTGAGGAAATGCTGACCATCGTATCCATGCTGTCTGTGCAGAACGTCTTCTACAGGCCCAAGGTAGGGAGTTCAGACCCATGTTCAGTTAGGGGTGTGTGAGGTTGGGTGAAGTCTGTCTGTTGCCACTGTGATGCTTGAGGTAGACGCTAAAAGGGCTCCCTAGAACTGGGTGCTCAGTTAGTAGCTGTTGAGAGGGAATTGATCCTCTTTGCCACTGCTTGGCAGGATAAACAAGCCCTCGCAGATCAGAAGAAGGCCAAATTTCACCAGACTGAAGGGGACCACCTCACCTTGCTGGCTGTGTACAACTCCTGGAAGAACAACAAGTTCTCCAACCCGTGGTGCTATGAGAACTTTATCCAGGCTCGTTCCTTGCGCCGGGCCCAGGACATTCGCAAGCAGATGTTAGGCATAATGGACAGGTAAGCTAGGAATCTGATCACTTCCTGTGTTTGGATTGCACCTGCTTGAGTACTGTGTTCACCTCTGTGTGTACTGGTAAAGCTATGGGCACCTGTTCCTTTCCTTATTATGTTCCCTTTTCCTCCCGCTTTTTTATCTTTGCTACACTGCTTCTCTCCAGGCAAGGGGAGGCTGAAAAGCACTTCAGAAAGTTCCTAAGCAGAAGATGACTTACTAGTTGTTGAAAAATGCTTTGTTTACAAGCCTCTAGAACATTGTTAGCCTGGAATTGAATTGTTGGCTAAGTGAAGTATCTGACTCTTAGTGCCTCTGTCTTGCCCACCAGGTAGAGCTGCCCCTGTGGGTTACTTAGGGTGGAAAAGAATGTCCTGGTAATTGCTCTGGGGATCCTGAAATGGGACACTGGGCACTGTCATTCTGGAAGATAGAACCCCTGGTAGCAGAACAGTTGACATCCTTATTCTCTCTTGACTTCTCCTGATAGACACAAGCTGGATGTGGTCTCCTGTGGCAAGTCCACAGTCCGAGTGCAGAAGGCCATCTGCAGTGGGTTCTTCCGCAATGCTGCCAAGAAAGACCCACAGGAGGGTTACCGGACACTGATTGACCAGCAGGTGGTCTACATCCACCCTTCCAGTGCTCTCTTCAATCGACAGCCAGAATGGTAGGTGGGCAGGTCCTGGGCTCTGGGGCTGTTTGGGCAGAGAGAACCCATCGATCTCCTGGCACTTTGTGCTTATATATGCGCCATCCTATTCTGGTCTAACATTGCTTATGTATCTAGAGCAGCCCAATCTGGAATTAGTCACCACATCAAACCCTTTTGAGAGAAATATGATCATAGGAATGAGAGAAATTATCTTAGAAGTCATCTAGTAAGGTCATTTTAAGTTTTTTGTTTTTGTTTTTAAGTGTTTTAAAGTAGCAGTAAAAGAAATCAATTCTTTTTTTTTTTTGAGAGGTTTTTGCTATAGGGCGTGTGCACTCGCCAGGCAGACAGAGACAGAGAGATAGAAAGCAAGAAATCACCCCCCAGAGGGGGATGGCCACGCCGCAATCCCTTCTCCTCCATTCTCCTCTCGGGATCTTGGGCACGCACGCACATGCACCCAGCGTGAGTTTTAAGCCACCGGGTCCGAGATGCGAACCACGGTCGACTACGTGGGAGTCCAGCGACATAGCCATTACGCTAACTGCTGGTCCCCATCTTCCCATTTTATAGAGCAAGAAACTAAGATCCAGAGAAGGGGCATGATTGGCTCCATGTCACTCACCTAGTTAGAGCCAGAGCCAGGGAAGCTTTTCTCCAAGAGCTTTCTTGGGGTTAGAGGTGTGCAGGCTCCTAATGTTGGAGTGTGGTTTTCACAGACAGTCCGCAGGCTCCTTAGCAGCCAGGTAGCAGAGGGAAGAGTGCAAAAGGCGAGCCTAGCTGAGCCCCGCAGGAGACCAGGTGGAATGGGCTATGTCAGAGGCTGAGTCCTGTCTCTGTGCCCCTCAGGGTAGTGTACCATGAGCTGGTGCTGACCACAAAGGAGTACATGCGTGAGGTCACCACCATCGACCCCCGGTGGCTTGTGGAGTTTGCCCCAGCTTTCTTCAAGGTCTCTGACCCAACCAAGCTAAGCAAGCAAAAGAAGCAGCAGCGTCTTGAACCCTTATACAACCGCTATGAGGAGCCCAACGCCTGGAGAATATCTCGGGCCTTCCGGCGGCGCTGAAAGGCACACTTGTCCTTTGGCCTCTTCTGTAGCCCAGGCTTGGACTTACTCTTTTAGAGGGAAAGCTGGACCCAAGGATGCAGCTCTTCTGTGACTGAAGATCTTAACTGGACATTTTCTAAACCCTACTTTCATTTCTTCTCTGGATGGTAAAATAGAAACAGAGACGTAAACCTGGTATTAACCAGAACCTCCATCCAGTTCTTGCCACTCCAAGTCTTGGGGCTGGTCCGGGGCTCATAGCCAACAGCACGACACATTGCATCATCTTCAAGAAAGCAGCAAAGTGTGCAGCCCTGTGATGGGAAAGGGAGGTGAACTCCTGGCACGGCTGGAGCTCTCCGGAGGAGGGAGCTGCAGAGAGGCTCACCTGGTGTTGGCCCCACTTCCTGCCCCTCTCCAGCCCCTGTACTTCAGCTTGACCTCCTAGAAATATTTATTTTCTTAAGGAAACAAAAGTGGTTTTCTGTGACCATTTCTTTTAGCTGAAAGGGTTTTTACATTGGCCTGGGTGCAGGCTGAGGGAGATTTGGTGTCTGTGGCTGAGGCCACATGGTGGAGAATCTCCTGAAACCAGAAGCTGGCCTCTTCAGCTCAGACGTGATGCACAGCCCAGCCCTCCAGTCTTACCTGTCAGCACCAGCTAGCCCAGCTCTGCCAGGGGATTGCCTGGGATTAACCACATCCAGCTCACAGAGCACTGGATCTGGGCGCCTGAGTGGTTGCAGATGCTGCGTTTTGAACACAGAGGCTCCCTCTCCTACCACGCAGTGTGCAGTGTGGTCAGAATACTTTTGAAGGATGCTAAGTAACAACACAGCCTTTATTTCATTTTTGTCCCTCCCCTCCACTGGACCCCAGTGGATTTTAACAAAGGGAATTCATGGTGAGTGCCTCCCCTGCCCCACCCCAAACAGAAATGAGCATAACACCTCTCAGCCAGCTCCAGTCTGGGCCCACCAGCTGCCTTCTGGGCCTTGTTCTTGGTGGCTTTTTCCTAGCACTTGGTTGGGAATGGCCACTTCCGAGGGTATGTCACAGTGGAGGAGGCCCCATATGTAGATCCTCTGGCTAAGTTGTAGAACTTCTGGGAAGATCTAGATGTGGAGTTTGTAGAGAAGCCCAGTGTCTCCTCCCCATCACCATCTTGAAATTTTGTAAAAAAAAAAAAGAAAAAAGAAAAAAAAGAATTGTATGCCAGATATTAAAAGGGACTTTACTACATTCTAAGTTATAAAGGAATGTATGATGTCACTGACCAGTAAACCACCCTAAGGACACATTCAGAAAGAATCGAGAGGAATATAGGCCAGGAAGTCTGCTGACTACAGATCCCAGCCCCTCATTCAGCTGAGTGAGCTTCGTTTCTGTTTGAGTGTGCTCCTTAGTCAGCCCAGACCAGCAATCAAGGGCAGCGTATTATACTAAGGCATCTAGGGAGGACAGTGCAGGGGCCAGACACTCAGCTCCCCAACCTTCCTTCCAGCCTAGAACCCTTTGAGGAACAAATTCCTGGGCATGGTGACCCAGCCCATCCTCACTGAGTGCCCAGCACTGATAGTGTTGGTGCCTGAGATGGGAGTTTGTTTATTTTTGTTATGTTTTGCTTTGTTTTGTTTTAAGAGAGATTTTTGCTATAGGGCACATGCACTTGCCAGAGAGAGACAGAAAGCGAGAAATCAACCCCCAGGGGGATGGCCACACCGCAGTCCCTTCTCTTCTCCTTTCAGGATTTTGGGCACGCACACACACGCATGCGGTGTGAGTTTCAAGCTGCCCAGTCTGGGACTTGAACTGCAGTCGACTACATGGTAGTCCAGCAACATAACCATTATGCCACCTGCTGGTCCTGGGAGTTTGGGTTTTAAGCTCAGATTGAAAACAGATGTAATCATCTGCCAAGGGTGAGGGACAGTGGGACTGGTTGTCTTTCTGGCTTAGATGAGCAAAATGAAGCAACCTAACTGGATGTTCCTTGTCCCTCTGTCTATCCTATCACTTCTCTGCTCTGATAATGTTGCTGGGGTTTGACCTTTTGACTGTCCTCAGGAAAGCCAGGTCTGCAGCAGAGACAAGTCTGTCCTGAAGGAGAACAGACTCCTGTCCAGACTCAGAAGGAGAGCTTGCCTGCAGCTCTCATACAATGGGGCCCTTGTTTCTCTTCTAAACCAGTGCTTCCCGGGGTTGAGTGACAGCCCAGGAGGGGATGTGGGTCTCATGCAGAGCCCTGGAATCTACTTGGCCATTAAAGTATATTGTTCACCTCAACACAGTGGGAGCCTAGCTCAGGAGTTTCCTGCCACAGCACATGTGCTGAGTCTGTATGTGGGGGACCGTCCCCATGGGACATGTGTAAGCTCCTCTGCTGGATCAGGCTCCTTGATCCAAGTTTACTTCAGTCTGGATGGAGCATTTAGATTTGGTTTTAGCTATCCCTCCAGCCCAAAAAATTTCCTCTGGGTGGTCCCTCTAGCAGTCTCACTGGAGCAGTGCCCCTCCAAGTGGGAGGATTTAAGCAGCTGTAAGGAGTGGCTCATTTATGAACACTCAGAGGGCAAAGGTCTCGGCCTCTTCAGAGTTCAGCCAGCTCAGAGGGCAGAGGTGAAATATCTTGACCTTTCCTTGGATATACTTCTCATCTTAGTCTCTCAAGTGTGCATAGTCAGTCCTCAGGGTTCCCTCTGATATTTACACCTTCTTCCCTCCATGAAAGCCTGGTTTTTATGTATATATATATATATATATGGTTTAAGTTTTTAGTACTTATTTTTTCCTTGAGTGAGTGAGAGAGCACCCAATAGGGCCCTGATACTGTGACCCACCCCCAGCATCCACCAGCCCTGATCATGAGCATGCATGTGCCCCACATACTCAGGAAGGTTTCTGGATAGGCATCCGGAACCCTCTCATGCAGGCCAGCCTCAAGAGGTGTGTTTTACTGTGTGCTACCCACCAGCCAGTCCCTGAAAAAAAGTTTTTAAAGGTTTTTGTTATAGGGTGCACTGTGTGCTTGCTGGAGAGAGAGAGGAAGTAAGAAATTGCCCTCCAGGGACTGGTAGGTAGTGTGGTGGTTAAGGGCACTGGACTTCCACAAGGTCGACCACAGTTCAAGTCCTGGACCTGGTGGCTTGCTTTCTCTTTCCATCTCTCTCACTCTCTTATTCCGTACCTCTCTTGTCAAATTAAAATAAATAAATCACATTTAAAAAAGAAAAAAAAAGAAATTGCCCTCCAGGGAGGATGTACACATCACAATCCCTTATCCTCATCTCCTCTCCAGATTTTCGACACACACACATGTGCCTGGAGTGATTTTTCAAGCCATCAGGTCTGGGACTCAGACTGTGGTCAGCCATGTGGGAGTCTAGTGCCTTAACCACTACACCATCTGCTGACTTTAGAACTTATTTATTGTTTTCTTAGAGAGATTTTTTGCTATAGGGTGCGTGCACTCACCAGAGAGAGAGAGAGATTGAAAGTGAGACATTCACCCCCCAGGGGTAATGGCCAGGCTATAATCCCTTCTCTTCTCTCGGGATCTTGGGCACAGCGTGAGTTTTAAGTCACCGGGTCTGGTATTTAAACCATGGTCAACTATGTGGGAGTCCAGTTATGTAACTATTACACCATCAGTTGGTCCCAGAACAACTTTTTTTTGTTTCCCCAAGAGATTTTTGCTATAGGGCACATGTGCTCACCAGAAAGACAGAAAAAGAGAGATAGAAAGCGAGAAATCACCCCCCCCCAGGGGGGGATGGCCATGCCGCCATCCCATCTCCTCCATTCTCCTCTTGGGATCTTGGGCACACATGCACACGTGCCCGGTGTGAGTTTAAGCCACTGGGTCCGGGACTCAAACCACAGTCGGCTACATGGGAGTTCAGCGACATAGCCATTACACTAACTGCTGGTCCCATCCAGAACTTATTTTCTTAATTGTTTTTTTATGTGGACCTGTGGCACAGCAGTGGTATACTGCTCAAGAGAAGCTGGATTCCATGTAGTGCCCGATCATGGTGTGAATTCCCAGTCTGGTTGACCTGAAATATGCCAGATACAAGGGCAAGTGCCCAAGATCCAACACACTGGAGGAAGGGGATAGCAGTGTGATCAGACCTGTGGAAGATGCTCCCTCCCTCCTTGTCACACATGTGCCCTCATACACACATGAATAAAGAAAAAAGGCTTTTGGGGCCAGCAGGTGGTGTGGTGGCTAGGGCACTGGACTCCCACATGGCTGACCAGTTTGAGTCCCAGACCTGGTGGCTTGCCTTCTCGCTTTCCCTCTGTCTCCTCTCTCTGGTAAGTGCATGTGTCCTATAGCAAATTAATAAAAAGAGTAGTAGTAATAAAAAAAAATTGTTTCTTGTTCTAAATTATAAGTCAGTGCATTGATGTTTTTCTAGAAGAAAATATTAATAGGTTATCTTTATTTGTGTATTGGTCAAGAGGCATCCCTTCCTGTGAAGGCTGCTGTTGGTCCCTGAGGCTTTCAGCACAAGTGGTTCAGCTAACAGTTGGCCCAAGCTCTGCACAACCGGCCACCCTCACATAACTGTAGTTCTGATTTCACAGGTGAATAAGCAGCCGCCATTCTTACCTGACCCTGCTGTCTGGGAAAACATTTTTACAGGGCACCCCCCATTCTGCCCTTCCCACCTCCTCAGCCACCCCATTATATCTACTCAATCATACTCCTTCTGTAGGTGGCTTCACTTTTCAACTTGGTCTTTTTCTTTTTTTAAATTTTACTAGTGGTTGCGTGTGCTCAACAGGATGATGGAGGGAGAGGTAAAGTGAGAAAGCCCCACCATGGGGATGGTCACTCTGCAATCCTTTCTCCATTTCTCTCTGGATTTTAGCATACTCACAGGCCCAGCGTGCTTTTACAAGCTGCTGGTCCAGGACTCAAACTGTGCAGTCCATTGTGTAGCATCCAGCTGCCTTAACCTCCATGCCACGGTTGGCCCCAACTTTTGTCTTTTCTACTTACTCCTAGGACTAAGTTCTTTCCCAAATTTGGCAAGGAGAATCCAATTTATTTTTCACTCTCCCCCTAAAATCTGGTCTTCACTAGCCAGAATCCCAGCTTGCTCTAGCCTTTACTGCACTTTTGGTTTTTTACTGGAGAGAGATTTTGGGCACGTATGCACACGCACTTGGCATGAGGTGTTTTTTTGTTTTTGTTTTTAAGAGTGATTTTTGCTATAGGTGTGTGCTTGCCAGAGAGACAGAAAGCAAGAAATCTGGTCCCATTCAGAACTTATTTTCTTAATTGTTTTTTTATGTGGACCTGTGGCACAGCAGTGGTATACTGCTCAAGAGAAGCTGGATTCCATGTAGTGCCCGATCATGGTGTGAATTCCCAGTCTGGTTGACCTGAAATATGCCAGATACAAGGGCAAGTGCCCAAGATCCAACACACTGGAGGAAGGGGATAGCAGTGTGATCAGACCTGTGGAAGATGCTCCCTCCCTCCTTGTCACACATGTGCCCTCATACACACATGAATAAAGAAAAAAGGCTTTTGGGGCCAGCAGGTGGTGTGGTGGCTAGGGCACTGGACTCCCACATGGCTGACCAGTTTGAGTCCCAGACCTGGTGGCTTGCCTTCTCGCTTTCCCTCTGTCTCCTCTCTCTGGTAAGTGCATGTGTCCTATAGCAAATTAATAAAAAGAGTAGTAGTAATAAAAAAAAATTGTTTCTTGTTCTAAATTATAAGTCAGTGCATTGATGTTTTTCTAGAAGAAAATATTAATAGGTTATCTTTATTTGTGTATTGGTCAAGAGGCATCCCTTCCTGTGAAGGCTGCTGTTGGTCCCTGAGGCTTTCAGCACAAGTGGTTCAGCTAACAGTTGGCCCAAGCTCTGCACAACCGGCCACCCTCACATAACTGTAGTTCTGATTTCACAGGTGAATAAGCAGCCGCCATTCTTACCTGACCCTGCTGTCTGGGAAAACATTTTTACAGGGCATCCCCCATTCTGCCCTTCCCACCTCCTCAGCCACCCCATTATATCTACTCAATCATACTCCTTCTGTAGGTGGCTTCACTTTTCAACTTGGTCTTTTTCTTTTTTTAAATTTTACTAGTGGTTGCGTGTGCTCAACAGGATGATGGAGGGAGAGGTAAAGTGAGAAAGCCCCACCATGGGGATGGTCACTCTGCAATCCTTTCTCCATTTCTCTCTGGATTTTAGCATACTCACAGGCCCAGCGTGCTTTTACAAGCTGCTGGTCCAGGACTCAAACTGTGCAGTCCATTGTGTAGCATCCAGCTGCCTTAACCTCCATGCCACGGTTGGCCCCAACTTTTGTCTTTTCTACTTACTCCTAGGACTAAGTTCTTTCCCAAATTTGGCAAGGAGAATCCAATTTATTTTTCACTCTCCCCCTAAAATCTGGTCTTCACTAGCCAGAATCCCAGCTTGCTCTAGCCTTTACTGCACTTTTGGTTTTTTACTGGAGAGAGATTTTGGGCACGTATGCACACGCACTTGGCATGAGGTGTTTTTTTGTTTTTGTTTTTAAGAGTGATTTTTGCTATAGGTGTGTGCTTGCCAGAGAGACAGAAAGCAAGAAATCACCCCCTAGGGGGGATGGTCAAGCCACACCCCCTTCTCTTCCATTTTCCTCTCGGGATCTTGGGCACACACGCACACATGCCCCGTGTGAGTTTTGTCATCAGGTCCAGGACTTGAACTGTGGTCAACTACTTGGGAGTCCAGTGACATAACCATTATGCCATCTGCTGGTCTCCCGGCATGTTTAAGTCACCGGATCTGGGACTCAAATAGAGGCAACTACATGGGAGTCCAGCGACGTAACCATTATGCCATCTGTGGTTCCCTCCCGTACTTTCTTACCTGAGTGTCTTTCTCCTTTGGCCTGTTCTCCAGACAAACACTTGTCCCCATCACCAGCTCAAATAGTCACCTTGAGCCAGGGCAGCAAGGCTGTAGGAGCAGCTGTGATAACACAGGGAGCTGTGATCCAGCCTGAAGAAGCCCAGGAGGAAGGGCCTTGCAGCTCATTTGCTCACCTGGCCTAGCCAAGGGCAGGGACACCACAGCAGGGACCATGCCAATGGGTGTCCATCCAGATAAAAAGTAACCTTCATCCATTATTTCAGGATCCTCACAACAGTTCTAGAAGGGGGCTAGAGCATATATCACTAAGCCCACTTTTCTGAGGAAAAACAGTCAGATGAACTGCCTATTTTTAGAGATTTTTGTTATAGGGCATGTGCACTTGCCAGAGAGAGACAGAAACAAAGAAACAGAAAGTGAGAAAACACACCCCCACCCCCCCGGGGAATGACCACACTGTAATCCTTTCTCCTCTTGGGATTTTGGGCATATACACACACACACACACACACACACACACACACACACACGGCACGAGTTTCACCGGGTCTGAGATTCATACTGCGGTTGACTGCATGGAGTCCAGCAATGTAACCATTATGGCATCTGATGGTCCTGCCTTTTTCTAAATCCATCTGGGAAATTAAACAGAGGAGTAGGCTCCAAACTCTAGCCACCTACCCCCAAAGTTAGAGCTTTTTCTACCCTCTAGTCCCTCCCCCGTGGCAACAAAAAGGACACACAACTAACAGGAGAAGCAGGGCCTTTATTAGTAAAGTCTGGCAGATGTGGTGAAGCTGAAGGTAGACCCCAGGCTTGGGCCCAGGAAGAGGCCTCTCCTCAGAGGCGAAGGGTCCCTTGGAGCAGGACGCCTCTCCCTGGCTCTACCCCTCTCCCCATCCCATCCTCCTTTCTTACCCTCTCCCTGCCTCTGGAGGGATCTTGGGCACGCATGCACACGTGCCCGGTGTGAGTTTAAGCCACTGGGTCCGGGACTCAAACCACAGTCGGCTACATGGGAGTTCAGCGACATAGCCATTACACTAACTGCTGGTCCCATTCAGAACTTATTTTCTTAATTGTTTTTTTATGTGGACCTGTGGCACAGCAGTGGTATACTGCTCAAGAGAAGCTGGATTCCATGTAGTGCCCGATCATGGTGTGAATTCCCAGTCTGGTTGACCTGAAATATGCCAGATACAAGGGCAAGTGCCCAAGATCCAACACACTGGAGGAAGGGGATAGCAGTGTGATCAGACCTGTGGAAGATGCTCCCTCCCTCCTTGTCACACATGTGCCCTCATACACACATGAATAAAGAAAAAAGGCTTTTGGGGCCAGCAGGTGGTGTGGTGGCTAGGGCACTGGACTCCCACATGGCTGACCAGTTTGAGTCCCAGACCTGGTGGCTTGCCTTCTCGCTTTCCCTCTGTCTCCTCTCTCTGGTAAGTGCATGTGTCCTATAGCAAATTAATAAAAAGAGTAGTAGTAATAAAAAAAAATTGTTTCTTGTTCTAAATTATAAGTCAGTGCATTGATGTTTTTCTAGAAGAAAATATTAATAGGTTATCTTTATTTGTGTATTGGTCAAGAGGCATCCCTTCCTGTGAAGGCTGCTGTTGGTCCCTGAGGCTTTCAGCACAAGTGGTTCAGCTAACAGTTGGCCCAAGCTCTGCACAACCGGCCACCCTCACATAACTGTAGTTCTGATTTCACAGGTGAATAAGCAGCCGCCATTCTTACCTGACCCTGCTGTCTGGGAAAACATTTTTACAGGGCATCCCCCATTCTGCCCTTCCCACCTCCTCAGCCACCCCATTATATCTACTCAATCATACTCCTTCTGTAGGTGGCTTCACTTTTCAACTTGGTCTTTTTCTTTTTTTAAATTTTACTAGTGGTTGCGTGTGCTCAACAGGATGATGGAGGGAGAGGTAAAGTGAGAAAGCCCCACCATGGGGATGGTCACTCTGCAATCCTTTCTCCATTTCTCTCTGGATTTTAGCATACTCACAGGCCCAGCGTGCTTTTACAAGCTGCTGGTCCAGGACTCAAACTGTGCAGTCCATTGTGTAGCATCCAGCTGCCTTAACCTCCATGCCACGGTTGGCCCCAACTTTTGTCTTTTCTACTTACTCCTAGGACTAAGTTCTTTCCCAAATTTGGCAAGGAGAATCCAATTTATTTTTCACTCTCCCCCTAAAATCTGGTCTTCACTAGCCAGAATCCCAGCTTGCTCTAGCCTTTACTGCACTTTTGGTTTTTTACTGGAGAGAGATTTTGGGCACGTATGCACACGCACTTGGCATGAGGTGTTTTTTTGTTTTTGTTTTTAAGAGTGATTTTTGCTATAGGTGTGTGCTTGCCAGAGAGACAGAAAGCAAGAAATCACCCCCTAGGGGGGATGGTCAAGCCACACCCCCTTCTCTTCCATTTTCCTCTCGGGATCTTGGGCACACACGCACACATGCCCCGTGTGAGTTTTGTCATCAGGTCCAGGACTTGAACTGTGGTCAACTACTTGGGAGTCCAGTGACATAACCATTATGCCATCTGCTGGTCTCCCGGCATGTTTAAGTCACCGGATCTGGGACTCAAATAGAGGCAACTACATGGGAGTCCAGCGACGTAACCATTATGCCATCTGTGGTTCCCTCCCGTACTTTCTTACCTGAGTGTCTTTCTCCTTTGGCCTGTTCTCCAGACAAACACTTGTCCCCATCACCAGCTCAAATAGTCACCTTGAGCCAGGGCAGCAAGGCTGTAGGAGCAGCTGTGATAACACAGGGAGCTGTGATCCAGCCTGAAGAAGCCCAGGAGGAAGGGCCTTGCAGCTCATTTGCTCACCTGGCCTAGCCAAGGGCAGGGACACCACAGCAGGGACCATGCCAATGGGTGTCCATCCAGATAAAAAGTAACCTTCATCCATTATTTCAGGATCCTCACAACAGTTCTAGAAGGGGGCTAGAGCATATATCACTAAGCCCACTTTTCTGAGGAAAAACAGTCAGATGAACTGCCTATTTTTAGAGATTTTTGTTATAGGGCATGTGCACTTGCCAGAGAGAGACAGAAACAAAGAAACAGAAAGTGAGAAAACACACCCCCACCCCCCCGGGGAATGACCACACTGTAATCCTTTCTCCTCTTGGGATTTTGGGCATACATACACACACACACACACACACACACACACACACACACACGGCACGAGTTTCACCGGGTCTGAGATTCATACTGCGGTTGACTGCATGGAGTCCAGCAATGTAACCATTATGGCATCTGATGGTCCTGCCTTTTTCTAAATCCATCTGGGAAATTAAACAGAGGAGTAGGCTCCAAACTCTAGCCACCTACCCCCAAAGTTAGAGCTTTTTCTACCCTCTAGTCCCTCCCCCGTGGCAACAAAAAGGACACACAACTAACAGGAGAAGCAGGGCCTTTATTAGTAAAGTCTGGCAGATGTGGTGAAGCTGAAGGTAGACCCCAGGCTTGGGCCCAGGAAGAGGCCTCTCCTCAGAGGCGAAGGGTCCCTTGGAGCAGGACGCCTCTCCCTGGCTCTACCCCTCTCCCCATCCCATCCTCCTTTCTTACCCTCTCCCTGCCTCTGGAACACAGAGCACCAAAAACTGACACAGGGCCCCCCAGGGCCACAGCTTGGGGCAGAAAGCAGAGTCCAGGCTTGTCTCCCCACAGTGGGAGATCGGGGGCTCAGTGAACCCCATACCCCCCTGCCAGGATGAGGGAAGTTTATGAGACTGTCTGTAGACTTGCTGGTTCCCCACTTTTCCTTCCCAAAGTTTGGGCCCAGGCAACTGATGGAATCTGCCCCAGAGGCATCTGTGGGTTTCAGAATGACGGTTTCCCCAACATCAAACTCATCTATATGTACACAGGGCAGCACCTCCTGTGGCTGCAGACTAGTAAGAATAGCCACCCTTGGGACCAAAGGGCTGGGCAGGACCAGCCAGCTCCGGGAGGTAGGCGGGGCTCTCATCCAAATGAGACAAAGGGACCGTGTCCTCCTCACTGACCGGCCGGTCAAATTCAGCCTTGAGAGCTGGACGCTGATTGTCCGGGAAAGCCAGAGAGAAGAGGGCCTCGGGCTCGCACACAAACTTGTACACGTAACGCTCACCAGCCACCTGGGGGGAGAGAGGGGACGGGTCAGCCCAGCTAGCCCCCACTAAGTACAGGGGTGGGGGCACAGCACTTCTCAGCGTCCAGACAAATGCAGGGCATGTATCTCCCCCATGATGGTTTCCTTGATAGTCCTTGTTGATGCCTAGTCACAATCTCTATGTTTTGGGCCTTTCAGTTACTGCTTAGAACCTTTGGGGGACAGAGACCTGGAGACTGTCAACAACTTCTTGACCCCTCTGGTTCATTATCTGCTCTTACACAATTGCTGAGAAATGTTCTCCTGACCCGTGCCCCTGCCACTTTCTCATGGCCATTGCCACCCCCCTCCAGCCTCTTGTCCCTGGACGCCCGACCTTCTGCATGATGCCCTTTTCATAATAGTATCGGAGTGAGCGGCTAAGCTTGTCGTAATTCATGGCCGGCCGGTTCTTCTGAATGCCCCAGAGCCTGGCAACCTGGGACAAAAGAGGAAGAGTTTTGGGGTGGAGACGCTGCCTCATCAGAAAGACAATGGGGAGCAGGGCAGAAGGAACACCTAAAATTCTTGTGCAAAGTGCTAAGTAAGCCCCTCAACTAGCATGGGATGCAGGCTTGGTGGGAGTCCGGGATAGGGAAAGCCAGGATGGCAGTGCGGTCCTGTGTTGCTCTTCCCAGTTCTCTCGTCTCCAGGCCCTACAGCTGTTGGCAGAGAGAAGTGGGGACATCTGACAGGCCCACCTCTTCAGGCTCGATTAGCTTGAACTCCATCCCCCGGCCTGTCCAGGCAATGAAATGGGCATTTGTTGGGTCATCCAGCAGGGCCACCAGGAACTGCCACAGCTGCAAGGCACCCCGGCGCTGGTAGGGAGGCCCTTCTCGGAATGCACCAACCCCTTCCTGCTTGATGTCTCCTGGAAAACAGGAATTAGGTGTGGGGTTTACTCCCCTCCCCCCAAGAGTGTGACATAGTGAACTGTAATGTGATTCCTACAGGGATAGGTAGATGGTAGAGGGCAGGAGATGGGAGGTGAGACCCCCACTCTCCTTCTCTGACCTTCAAACTTCTCAGGGACAACGCAGACGTCATCTGAGAATGGTCGCAGGGGTTTCTCGTAGACATAGCCTGTGGAGGAAGTTGGGGGTTGCTCAGATCTGGGACCTAGGAGTCCAGAGGGACTCTTAGCCAGGGAAGCTCTCCCCTCATCTTGGGGGCTTGGCAGGGGAAGAGGGGTGCCTTACCCATGGCCCCATCACCTGGAGAGGGCCCGGAGAAGCCCTCTGTGTGGAGGTACATTGATGCACACCCAGGGACATCTGCAGGGGAGAAAGGGTGTCATTACAGGTGGCTGGGCCAGCGCTGGGGGCAGGGGAGGGGAGGAGGAAGGCCTACACACTTTGAAAAAGTTCTTCCTGCCAGCCCTTCCGGTGACTGTCCTTTCCCCAGTGGTCAGCCCACCACCAAATCCCAGGGGAGGCACCCCCAGAGGGAGTGTGAGGTGAGCCCCTCAGCCTGCCGGCTGGGTGGGTGCATGATGGCAGCAGCCAGGGCTGGGCAAGCTGTTCCACCAGGCCCAGGATTCCAGGGAGCAGCTGTTTCCTGTGAGTTCAGGGGGAGGGCAGGGCGAGATGAACCTCCGGGGAAAGGGTTTGGTGTCCACGCCTAAGACTCCCTCGGAATGGGCAAACGTCCGGTCAGCAGGTCAGGTCGGGTTCCCGGCCCTTGGGTTGTGCATGCGCGCGCGTGTATGTGTGTGTGCAAGAGACAGACAAGCAGACAACCCGTGTGCATCTGAGGAAGAGGCAATGGGCATTGGGCCACGTTTTTTCAGGCCTCTCAGCAGAGCACATTCCACCTCATTCCGTTCCATAGGACAGAAATCTCCCAACTCCACCTCCGGGAGGTGGTTGTGAAGCCACCCGTAGAAGTTCCAACCCCTTCTCGCCTCCCCCACTCCACTCCCACCTATGAATGAGATGGTGAAACCTGACACCTCCGGGAGGAGGCGGAGGGTGGGCTCATTCATGCCTCCATTTTGTGAATGAAATTCCTGACTCCATTCAGGAGAAGCTGAGGGGGAGGGGCAGGAGTTCAAGGGCATGTAACACGATCCCCTCCGGTTTCCAGCCTTTGAAGGTCAGCGGCAAGAGCGTCTACCTCCTCCTCCCTTCCTCTCACTGCCAAGCCTGGCTAAGGCTCACGCTCACGCCCTGGGTTTGAGGACAGGAGAGCCCATCCGGTTCTCACTCTGGTCATTCCCCTGCCCCTAAAAGACTGTAGGTATCAGAAAAAAAATAAATTCTAAAGTTCTAGCCAGCTCTGAACCTGCTCTAATCTCTGCAAATTTGCAGATAAACTCAGACTGGGGATAGTACCAATGTAACAGGAGCCAGAAGGAAAGGGTTTTCTGGGTCCTTCCTAGCTGAGAAATGCCCTCGCTGCACACAGGACTTTGAACTACAGCTGTTTATGAATATGGCTGAGTGTATCTCAATCCTGTCAACACCAGATAGAATTAGATTTAATGCAGTCCCTACTTCCAGTACCCAGCTTTGGCCAGGGTGGTCATCTGTCAACTCAGAGGCTCAAACAGGATGTGGAAACCACACATTAACCCTGCGTTCCTATTGGGGACTATAAACCTGGCTAATTTCAAGTTCATGTTTCTTTTCTGTCAAATCTCTTTGTATTTTTAAACTCCTGGGGGTACAGGGACCAATGACACATCTATTCATCGTTTTCTCCCCAACTGCCAGAATGCCTGTTCCTGGCATAGTACTTTGGTTTTAGTAGGTTATTAAAACCCCAAATTGAGCTGGCCCTGTAGTGCAGCGGTTGACACTGGGCAGAAGCTGGATTCCACATGGCCAACCAGGGTTGGAGTGCTGGCCTTGCTAGCTTGACAAAACATGCCATGCACTCGCCTGCAGGACCCGGATGGGATGGAGAAATGGAGGGAAAAGGACTGTAATGTAAGCAGGCCTCATTGTGGGGTACTCTCCCTATAGCCCCCACCCCCAGCACACACACCACACACGCACCCTTTGGCATTTAAGAAAAAACAAACCCTCCCCAAATTTTGTTATATCTTGACTTTTCTTTTTTCTTTTTTTTTTAAAGAGGTTTATGCTATAGGGCGTCTGCGCCAGCCAGACAGAGACAGACAGACAAAAGAGAGAAATGACCCCCCAGGGGATATGGTCACACCGCAATCCCTTCTCCTCCATTCTCCTCCCAGGATCTTGGGCACGCACGCACACACGCCCAGTGTGAGTTTTAAGCCACCGGCTCCAGGACGCGAACCACAGTTGACTACGTGGGAGTCCAGCGACATAGCCATTACGCTAACTGCTGGTCCCAAATATCTTGACTTTCTTATTAAGTCACAAGCTACCAAAGGACAAAGAACTACATCCATTACCTTTCATCTGAACATAAGTTTGCTGATTACAATTAAATGGCTATTCTTTTCAAATTATGAAACCAAGTAAGTGGGTGGGCTGGATGAATGAACTGGTAAATAACTGGACAGAAAAGCAAAAAACCTGTAGCAAGAGGACCAGTCCCCTAATACAGTGATTAAGTGCTATGTGTTGGGAGCTGATCCCACATGGCCAAGAGAGGTTTGATTCCTAGCCCAGGTGGCCTGAAAAACACACTCGGCACATGTGCATTTGGCTCCAAAATCCTGATGGGACAGAGAAATGAAGGAAAAAGGGCTATGGTGTGACCAAGCCCCATTGGGGGGGGGTGCTTTCTCACTCTTTCTCTGCTAAGGGAAAAAAAAAAGTATGGGGAGGAATCCTGGGCTAAACTGTTCATTTGATCATGTTACCCTAACCTGGTAATCCCACAAAATTCCTCCATGCCCTCCCAGGAGAGTCTCTTACCTGAGTCGTAGGCAAAGTCCGTCTGCTCCTGTTTGATCACCACCCCTGCCCCTGGGTACCTGTGCCCGTTGACCCCACCCTGGCCCACAGCTGGCTGGCTGGCCTGTTCATACAAGGGATCATGGTATTCCTGCTTGAAGCTCTGCTGGGGGTAGGGTGGGCAGGGCTCCGACAGCTGGTGTTGGTAGGGGCCTGGGAGGGGTTCCCGGCCCCCTCCCTGAGATGTGAAGGAGTGGCAAATGTCCAGGGGCTGCTGGAAGACGGAGCTGGATGTGGTTGGATGGAGAAAAGAAAAGAATCTTAAATCAGTCCCTCTTTGAGCCTGTCACTCCCAGGCTTGTAGAGCAGACTGTGGAGTGGAAGTGTGGCCACCTCAGTCAGCCACGTGGGAGTCCAGTGCCTTAACAACCTCACCACCTAATGGCCCCATAGTTGTAGATTTTTCTTTT